GAGATGTTAAAGCCAGGAGGCCGGGAGGTTGGCAGGTGAGCCAGATGTTGCGCTGGCACTCAACTTGCCAGCCTTGGCGACTGAGCCTAGACTGTCTAAAAAAAAGGCCGGGTCCCTATTTTTCCTGTTGAACCTTTGAGTGATACACCCGAGTTTTTCGTGCCATCCGAATTAGTAGCAACATTATTTTCTTTTAGGCGTTCATATATATTCTCAAGCTGTATAGGAGGCAGGTTAGCACTTACCTGGGCCCAGGTAATACAGGGAGAATCTTTCATCCAAGCCAGGAGTAATTTTATTTTCCGCCACATTTTAATATCCCTCAAATGCAATGGCTCTTCTATAATCAACATCATATGAAGCTTTAGGACTGGAAGTTTGGTTAGAACTATTCAGGAAGTGAAGGATGGCGTTTTCTGGCATAGACTGTGGCTGTTACCAGCAGAGGTAAGCCATTGGTATTAGGAATGAGACACAAGATGAGGCGCGCAATTTCAATTGACCACAGAGTGGACTGTCACCTTTTTTTTTTTTTTTTGAGCAGAATCTCACTTTTGCGGCCCAGCCTGGAGCGCAGTGGGTGGCGATTCTGGCTCACTGCAACCTCTGGCCTCCCAGGCTCAGCAAATGTTTCTGCCTCAGGCCCCCCCGCCCCCGCCCCATCCAAGCAGCTGGGATTACAGTGCCCACCACCACACTTGGCCTAATTTTTGTATTTTTAGTTAGGGTCGCGGTTTCACCTCTTTGTCCAGGGCTGGCTCTTTGAACTCCTGGACCTTGTGAGTCCACCTGCCTTGGCCTCCAGAGTGTTGGGATTACAGGCGTGAGGCACTGCTCCTGGCCTTTTTTTTTTTTTTTTTTTTTTTCTGACAGTTTTTGTTCTGTTGCCCAGGCTTGGAGTGGCAATTGGTGGCGATCTCAGGCTCACTACAACGTCAGGCCTCCCGGAGTAACTGGGATTTACAGGCATGCGCCATTGGATTGCCAGGCAATTTTGTATTTTGGTAGAGGACAAGGTTTTCTTCCATGGTTGGTCATGCTGTCTTCGGAACTTCCTGACCTCAGGTTGATCCTGGCCTTTATCTTCAGCCTTACCAAAGTGCTGGGATTATAGGCGTGAGCCACCACTCCTGGTGACGTTTTGCCTTTTTTAAAAAAAATAATTTTTTTTTTTTAGAAAACAGGTTTCCACCATATTGTCAGGCTGGACTCCAGCAATCCCCACAATTTTGGTTACAGGTGTATTCCTGGTGGTCGTTGGTCACAGGGCTTTGACAACCCCAACCAATTTATTTTGCCTACATTTTCATTTTTATGTATATGAAGAGTGATATATCATGAAAACCTATGTTAAAGTATCAACAAATCTAGGGCCGGGTGCAGTGGCTCACACCTATAATCCCAGCATTTTTGGAGGCCAAGGCGGGTGGGTCACTTGAGGCCAGGAGTTCGCAGCCAGCCTGGCTAACATGTCCAAACCCAGTTGCTACAAAAATTACAAAAATTAGCTGGGTGGCCGGGCGTGGTGGCACA